ATTTGCTTAATTTTCTTGGGCAAAGTCCATCGCTTTTTACCAGTTCGATAAACATCTATTAATAATACCTTTCAATCATTTGAGTTCTGCGTCTTCATTGACAAAGCTGCTTGTCACATTTGGAAAAGCACGTATTATCAAGGTCAAACAAACGACCTAATAGCTGAGGTTGGAAGAGTCACAAGCGCTCCACGTACCCTCTGCTGCCAGAAACATCCACAGCCAAAGACACAAAGAACTGAGAACAATCACAAGTCTCGTCATTTCTGAGCCCTGAAAAGTGCTGTTTCCTGAGTGAGCTTGTGTTGTCCCCTTCTCTCCCAAGCCTTCCCACTGTGCTCACTGGTATGCTGCGTGGTCACCCTGCTCTGTGCTTCTCCCACATTACTCCCTCCATCTCTGCGCCCTCGCAGAAGGTGGTTCTTCTTTGAAGACACGTTTCCCCATAGCCCTGTTAAGTAGAGACTGCAGTCTCGCTTACTCCAATTTGTTTCCTGCTCCAATTTGTTTCCTGGTCCCCCATGCAGCTTCTAGAAGATGCACTCTGGTTTGGACTGCAGACTGTTACAGCTCCAATCCCTTCCCACTTGTCACCTTGGGCAAATTATGTATTTCCTTTTATTCAGGTTTTTTGTCTGTAAAATGAGGATAATAATGACACCCACCTCCTTGGGTTGTCATGAGATTTAATGAAATGATTCGTGCTGAGTACCTTGAACGCTCCGTTTGGACCACCTGGTGCATGTTAGAGAGGATTGTCATGGCTCCATGTGAAGTTCATTTCCACACAAGGTGCTCATGTAGTGCTCTGTGTCACTGCACTCTGCTCCCCCTTACCCACTTCTACTGACCAAAGACCACTGATCTCAGTCTCCCTGCCACCTCCAAGTCTGTCACCTGGGTGACTTCGAGAGTCCACTTGGATGGTCTCTCAGTTTCTTCATCCCTACAATTTTTGATAATCTCCACTCAGTGTCATCATGGAACCAGCTTGCACACTAGTGAAATGTGTGTATTCTCAACTCACATTCACGGACATCACATTGTATCTTGAGATGAGCCATGATGGGAATAGTTACACTACGAAAATTGGCAAACACTAAGAACAAGGCTTTTCAGCTCACATGCTGCTTCTCTTTATTATTTTTTTCTTAGTTCATTTCTTTCATGAAAGAGAGGAAGAGAGAGAGACACACACACTTCCAAGGGGATCTTTATGCACCAGTTTATACCCAGTCTCAGATGGCTGGACACACACGTGTGCTCTCCCCATGCACAGGGAGACCTCAGGATGCAAACTCTGGACCTTTCCACAGGAGTCTAGTTGAGTTACCACTGCACCACCACCTGGACCCTGCTTTACTCTGATTCAACCACCTAAAGCCATGACCATCCCTTGACTCTGTCACTAATAACCTTTCAATATCTGAAATTTCAAATTCAAACCTCCCATTCTTGGACCACCACTCCGGCCCACTCAGCTCTTCTACTCCACGGTAAAAGTGAGTTCCCACCACAGCTACTTTTCAAAGTACCTCCACTGAGCAACGTGTTCCTCCTTCTACTTGTTTATTATCTGATTTAGGCTTCTTTTATCATCTTTTAATTTTATTTTAATTTTTCTTTTAAAATTTTGCCAGCAGGCATGTACCCTCTCCAGAGAGAGAGAGGGAAAGAGAGCAATTGGCCTCCATGGGGGCTGGAAAAACCCTCCATGGGGGATGGTCACCATAAATCTTTCTCCTCCATCTCTCCTTCCTGTCAGGATTTTGGCCATGCACACATACATACTCTGTGTGTTTCTCAAGCTGTTGGGCCTGGGACTTGAACCATGCATCGGCCATGTAGGTTCTAGCTGGCCCGATTTCTCACCTCTGGCTGGCCCTGGGCTTCTTGAATAATGCTATGAACAACTTGTGTGTAATATCCCCAAGCCTCTGCCCCATTGTTTTTCCTGCTAACACCCCAAGCCTGGCCTACGTCCTGCTGTATTTTTCTTTCTTTGGACTCTCCAGAGTGGCCCCCAAACCTGGAAAGGGAAAAATATAAATATAACTTAGTCATGAATTCTAATGCATGTTAATAACCACCTTTGCTGTCATGTCAGAAATAAGCAACTTATTTTTGCACAAAAGATCAAATCACACCTGCAGACATTTTTCCCCTAATGGACTTCTCTGGAGATGGAATCGCTCCAGCTGTTACAATGCGCTCTTTCGTAATTTCCATGTCAGCACGGTGGTGGTTTTATTTTATTTTTTTTATCCTTCTTTTTCCTGTTTATGATTGAAATATTAAACCTTGGGTCAATTTTGTTTTTATGGCATGTTTTGCAGCTGTATTAAATCCGGTTCTTGTCAAAGGGTCAATACTGTATTCTCAAAACAAGAAAATATCCCATTGTCAAGGAGACAGACAGAAAGGCCTTTGATACCAAAACTTTGCCCCGTGTGATCTCCTTTCCCTGGCAGCCGCCATAGCACTGGCTTTTCATCTTGTTCAGAAAACTTTGGCCTCCCCTTGCCTTTTCATGAGGATGGGTTTGCTATTCATTCACTTACTGTCTTTATTAAGCACCAGCTGTGTACCGGGCCCTTATCTAGGTGCTGAGGAGAGTCCGATAAAGCAGATAGACGAAGTCCCTGCTCTCCCGGAGCTTCCATCAGGGCAGGGAACCAGGACAGAGTAAACCCAGATAAGTAAGGAAGCCAATTTCAGAGAGTGGGGAGTGCTGGAAGTAATGGCAAAGCAATGTGATCGGGAGTGACCCAAGGTGGTATAGTCCCTACCTCTGGGGACCGGGTGTCTGATCCAGGCCTGTACAGATGCCCAGCCGGTGATGCCTCAGCTCCTCTGCAGGGGCTAGAAAAGAACACCATCTCCATGGCGAAGTAACAAAAGAACACGTCAAAGCAGCCACAGTGATCCATCTTGCTTGCAAGTCCAGCTACACCAATCCAGATGCATTTTCTCTGCCATTGAACACAATCAAAATGCCGAGGACTGGAATCAGAGCCTGGCAAGGAGTGGAACAGAGCCAGCCAGGAGTGACTCTCTCTGAGGAAGTTCCTCATGTTGGTTTTAGGACCATATGTTGGGACCCATGGGTTAGGGGTGACTTGTTGACTGACTTGTGTGCTCAGGACCCATTAGTTTTTATCTCCAGCCAGAAATGTCTCCTGAGTTCCAGGCACATGTGAAAAAAGGCCTGATGGAAATATGTTTCCGGTGTTCCACTGGTGTCTTCAATTCTCCAAAAGTAAACCATTGCCCTCTTTGTCTCCACATCAATCTGTCGTTTATTTTTCATTTCAACAAATGATATTCTTTCTGCCAAGATGCTTTTCAGGAGTAAGCCATGATGCCCAGGAGTTCTGCCTTGATGTTCGAGCAGTGGGGATCCTCTTCAGCTGCATATAAGTGCAATCCTTGACTCCTCCTCAGTATCCAATTCAGTGCCAAATCTATTAGCTCTTTTTTCTTTCTGAAAATTTGCTACAGTGTGCATGTGCTCACTGGAGACAGAGAGAGAGACACACACACAGACACACAGAGAGTGAGAGAGAAAGCAACTGCCCAGGGGACACGGCCACGCCACCATCATGTCTCCATTTCTGCTGTTGGAATTTTGGTCACACGTATACCTGCTCTCAGTGTGTTTTTCATGCCACTGAGTCCAGATTTCAAACCACAGTCGGCCATGTAGGATCCAGCTGCCTTAAGCACAGCACTGGCTGGCTCCCAAATCTATTCTTTCTCCCTCTAAATATTTCTTGAATTTACCTACCTCCATCCATCCCCACTGCTGTCACCTTACCTCAGTCCGTTACTTTCTGTCTCCATTGAAGGAATACAGATAATGGTCATGACCACAGTCTTTTTTTTTTTTTTTTAAGTGACCACAGCCTCGATCCTTCTATTTAGTTATTTACACTACAGCCTGAGATTCCTTTTTAACACAGAAGTCTGATGAGGTCACTGCAACTGCTTTCAGCCCTTCCATGGCTCCCCACTGTCCTCATGTCGGGTGGCTTACAGGCCCTCTGTGACATGGCCCCATTTACTGCTGCAGCCTGTTCTCTCCCAGCTTCTGGGCCCCATCTCTAAGCACCGGGCATCCTTCAGCTCTCAGTGGTACTTACTCTCGCCCACCTCCACCTTGGGTCTTTGCACAGACTTTCTCTTTCACCTGGGACACTCTCTTTAATCCCACCATCTTTTTCCAGGATGAGGGTTCATCCTTTTGTATGTCTAACCGCAAAGTCATTTCCTTTAGAAAATCCTCTAACCATCCTCTACCTCCAGCCCAGGGTCTAGGTTCAGAGCCCTTCAGTGCGTCTCTAAGAGTTGTCAATTCATCTGTAAATCTGGTACTGACATCTAAATTGCACAAGAACAGTGGCTGTGTCTGTCTTGCTCACTATCCAGCAATTCCATAATGCCTGCTAGGGAGGGGACTGTACTGAGTATGTATTAAATAAACTACTGGATGATGAGATCTATCTTAAGTGACTCTTGATATTTTCACCTATTGAAAAACAAAACCCACCTTGTATAATTTGAAATAGCATGTACTTATTAAAGAAAACTTATAAAATTAAAAGGAAATAATAATAAAGACATTACCCTCCATCTCACCACATGATCATGGCCACTGATATATGCTGGCATATTTCATATATATACATATAATTTTCCTTGTTAAAATGATGCTGTTTACCATCTATTTACTATCCTTACTGCAGTAAAATACAACAACCATAAACCTTACCATTGTAGCCATCTGAAAACATAGTACAGTGGCATTCAGTATAGTCATAGGGTTTGCAAACAGCCCCAACTATCTTGGAATTTTTTCATCTTCCCAAACTCTGGGCCCATTACTCAATGCTGCTGTACCCCTCTCTTCCTACAATTCATTTTTATCTACAGTTGTATCAAACCGGAGTTGTTTGACTTCACTGGGAGAGTATAATTTTTCTTGCTTGTCTTCCTCACAGTTCTCCAAAGCTTCGCACTTTGGCCAAAGGTTTGTCTCCCGCATACCTGAGATTTGGCGGCACCAAGTCAGACTTCCTCATTTTTGATCCCAAGAAGAAACCATCCTTCGAAGAGAACTCTTACTGGCAAACTCAAGCCAACCAGGGTGAGACTTTTTAGAGATTTAAAGATTCTTTCGCATGAACTTGGATCAGCGATGAGAATACTTAGAGAAGGGTGTTATTGTTCATACCTAATGTAAGAGATTGAGGGGCAACTGGTACGACACCCACATAGGAGGAGGAAATGGGCAGGTTTCCACATCATGATGTCTGCATGAAGGTGAGACCACACAAGAAAGGGGAGAGGTGCTGGGTGTAACCAAGTTCACTGTGTTGTAAACAGAACAATGTGACTAAAGGTCAGAGCTGCTTAGAGGGAGCATGGCGGGTGAAGGGTACGCATATCAAACAGGAGAGAGTATTTCCAGCTAAAACACAGGAATCAATTTAAGTGTGTTTATTCTGGAAATAGAATATGGGTGAAAGGTATTCATGAGGGAACATGAAAATGCGTCGTGCTTCTTGGGACTAGCAGTTGGTGTAATGGCTATGTCGCTTGCCTCCCATATAGTTGACTGTGGTTAGAGTCCTGGATCCGGGGCTTAAACTCACACTGGGCACGTGTGCATACATGCCCAAGATCCCAAGAGGAGAATGGAGGAGAAAGGATGCAGTGTGGCCATCCCCCCTGGGGGCTGATTTCTCACTTTCTGTCTCTATCTTTCTGGCGAGCATGCACATGCACCCTATAGCTAAAACCTCTCCACCTCCACCTCCCCCCCAAAAAAAGAAAAGAAAATACATTGTACTTCTGAGAACAGATTTTGAAACTTGATTTCCTGAGCAGTGTTCCTCAAGTTTGCTGGCTATTAGCGATAATCATATAGAGAGAGTTTGACTATTTGCATTTCCAGTTTCCAGCTCTACAGTCTAATTTTTTTTTTTTTTTAGAATTATTTAGTTTTGGGACCAGCAGATGATGTGATGGTTACATCACTGGACTCCCACATAGTCGACCGTGGTTCAAGTCCTGGACCCAGTGGTTTAAAACTCATGCCGGGTGCATGTGCATGCATGCCCCAAATCCCAAGAGGAGAATGGAGGAGAAGGGATTGCAGTGTGCATGCCCCCTGGGGGAACGGGGGGTGGTGATTTCTTGCTTTCTGTCTTTTTGTCTTTCTCTGTCTCTCTGGCAAGAGAGACACGCTCCCTATAGCAAAAACTCTAAAAAAATTAAAAAATGAATGATTTAATTTTATTTATTATTATTATCTTTTTAAATCTGCTATAGGGCACCAGCACTCACCAGAGAAAGAGAAAACAAGCTGAATCTAGGTCCAGGACTCAAATAGCAGTTGGCCATGTGGGAGTCCAGTACCTTAACCACCATGCCACCTGCCGGCCTCTCCTGCAGTCCAATTTAAAAAAGTTTGTTGGAAGGACCAGCAGGTGGCAAGGTAGTTAAAGTGTTAGACTCCCACATGGTTTGAGTCCTGGACCTGGCAGCTTGGAAATCATCCAGGCACATGTGCATGTGTGCCCCACGTCCCAGGAGGAGAATAGAGAAGGGATTGCAGCATGGCCATCCTCCTTAGGGAGTAATTTCTCACTTTCCTCTCACTGCCTCTCTGTCTCTTCAGTGAGCTAAGGCAAAAACCTTTAAAAAACAAAATTGCCAGGTGATTCTGATACTGGAAGTCTGTGGCCTTCACCAGAGAAACCTGCCCTAGGTAGCCACAAAGATGTGTCCTGTATCTTTCAGAAGTGCCATCAGACACCTAATGGAAGTTAAATCATTACTTTAATCATTACTAAAAATATTATATATGTCGCTGAATTATAATGTGCATACCGCATATGCATTAATAAGTAATGCTTAATTCTTTCTTTCTTCCTTTTTTTAAGAGAAATTTTTGCTATAGGGTGGGTGTGCTCACCTGAGAGACAGACAGAAAGCAAGAAATCACACCACAATCCCTTCTCCTCCATTTTCCTCTTGGGATTTTGGGCATGCACGCACACACATCTGGCGTGAGTTTTAAGCCATTGGATCCAGAGCTCGAACCACAGTCAACTACATGGGAGTCTAGCAACATAACAGCTACACCATCTGCTGATCCCAATACTTAATTATTTCATTTATTACATGGTTTCCACCTGTTTATGTTCTTCTGTTAGGAATTATTTAGAACAGTTAACGAGTTACTGGGACAAACTTGACAGAATATTAATTAGAAAAATAGAAAAAAGACAGTAGAGTGTCTTTGAATAATTATCTGGACTAGTTTATGTTTGAAGTTGGTGCTTTCTCACCAGTCATGTGTGTTCAGAAGGTCTCACAATTTAGAGAGGAAACTATCCTTTACTCCTCAATTTCCTTTTTTTTTTTTTTAACCATGAATCAAATTTCCCCAAAGGGGGAATTTTATTGATTACTTTATTCCCTCACAAATAGACCAACTGTAATCAAATGAGGTGAACATTCACCTCAAGATTTGGTCGTCTTCATAATAGAAAAGATGAGGCTTAAACCTGGATCATTTGACCTTTTCTCTTATCTCCTCCCAGTTCAAAATGTTCACATCTCTAATAGCCAGCATACTCTTAGCTCTGCAGTTGGGCTCAGCACCGTCAGGCCTCAGCACAATCTTCTTTGTAGTTTTTACCTTTTTCTGGAAAATAGGCTTAGTCTGTCCACCCTAGCCACTCTGCTTCCTGTCATAACACCGCCTCCCCTGAGCAGGCAGAGGACCCTTTCCCTTTTTGTACTGTGTCACTTTGTGAGGTTGGTGCTTGCCACACTTCTTCCAGAAGGTCCGGCGGGTTTTAGGGATGTTCATCGTGCTTGCAGGCCTGCTATCTGCACAGAAAGAGAGAGGCTACTCCTCAATTTTCTCACTCTGGGGTTGGGGGTGGGTGGGAGCTTGGGATTGTCCACGTTCCTCTGAAACATCCTTTGTGATTATAAAGGTAGCTGGGCCATGGGCCACCAGAAGTCACCATGTGCAGTGTCCCAGAAAGGAAGTCACTGACCAGACAGCCAGCTCTGGCAGTCAGCTCCTGGTGACCTGCTGCCTTGTGATAAAGAAACAGTCTGCCTGGGAACCAGCAGTTAGCGTAATGGCTATGTCACTGGACTCCCACGTAGTCGACCGCGGTTCGTGTCCCGGACCCGGTGGCTTAAAACTCATGCCGGGCGCGTATGCATGCGTGCCCAAGATCCCGAGAGGAGAATGGAGGAGAAGGGATTGCGGTGTGACCACCCCCCTGGGGGGTGATTTCTCGCTTTCTGTCTCTATGTCTCTCTGTGTCTGTCTGGCGAGCGCACGCGCCCTACAGTGAAAATCTCTCCAAAAAAAAAGAAACAGTCTGCCTGCCAGGACTAAGGGGGGCTTTTTGGTTTTTGTTTTTTAAGAGAATTTTATTACAGGGAGAGTGCACTCACTGGAGAGACTTGCTGGAGAGACAGAGAGACAGAAAGTGAGAAAACACTCTCCCTCCTCCATTCTTCTCTCGGGGTTTTGGACATGCACGCACATGCAGCTAGTGTGTTTCAAGTAGCCGGTTCTGAGACTCAAACTGTGGTCGATCATGTGGAAGTCCAGGATCTTAACCACTACAACATCTGCTGGCCCTGATAAAGGGAAATTTTTCTAAGTACGTGTATAGTTCCAGAAGCTCAGATGGTACCAAAGTTAAAGAATCAACAATTCCTATTCTACCTTCCATTACAGCAAGAGAAAACCACCACAAAGCAGATATAGTCCATGGGAAACAAACTATTTTCTTTTTTTAGTTTGGAAGAGGGTGCTTGTTTTCACCAGAGAGACAGAGAGAGAAAGTGAGAAAGCATTCCCCATGGGAAATGGTCAAACTGCAAGCCCTCCTCCTCCATGTCTCTCTTTTCATGATTTTGGACATACATATACAGGTACCCAGAGTGTTTCTCAAGCCACCAGGTCTGGGACTTGAGCCACATACTGTGGCCATGTGGGATCCAGCTGCCACTTAACCACCACACCATGGGCTGTTCCACCATTATTTTGAAGGCACTCCTTAAGAGAACTGAATTATGTTTTCTTCATTTCAGTTCTCTGGTGATTTCAAGCTTCTGTGTAGCCTTCTGAATTGTTAAATCCAGAAAGTTCTGATCAATATGTGTGTCCTATGCTTCTCAAGAAATGTGCCTCTTGTACTTAAAGGTATTTTTTTGTACTTATAGGTTAGCCAGAAAATCTGATTTGTGTAACAGAACATATCTTTCTTAATCTCAGACCAAGGAATCAGGCACCTAATTATCCTGTGTTACTCACAGAAATAGCAGCTAACTATATGTAGGATGTATAGAATTTCAACCTTTCACTGTGAAAATAGGTTCTCTAAATCAGCAGTTGGCGGTCTTTCCCAACACCAGGGGCCAGCCTCATGGGAGACAATCCCTCCACAGACCAGAGGGTTTGGGGTGGTCTCGGGATGACCCAGGTGCACCACATCTGCCATGCACCCCGTTTCTACCTACCACATTGCAACATACAATGAAACACTCACACAGCCCTAGGGTTCATGCTTCCATGAGAACCCAATGTCACCACTGATCTGACAGAAGCTAGAGCCCAGAAGACAATGCAAGTGATGGGCACTGGTCTGTGGCCTTTGGGTTATGGACCCCTGTTCTAAATTGTCTCTTCCACTTGCAGACATTTGCCGAAGTGGGTCCTTCCCTCCTGACGTGGAGAAGAGGCTACAGTCAGAGTGGCCATTCCAGGAGCAATCACTCCTCAGAGCACAGTATCAGAAGAAGTTCAAGAACAGCACCTACTCAAGTAAGAACTGAAGGGCGCTCTGTCGGTGCTGTGTGTTGGACTTGGCCTTGAATCTAAAAAGTCCTAAGCAGTTACATAAAGTTGAACAAAATCCAAATGTTATCAAGAATTTGTGGAAAATCCTGAACCCCAATTTTTTTTTCCTTTCTTCCTCTATCTTTGTCTACTGGCCACAGGGTGAAATATAGAAATCAATGATTCACAAACTAATAATGATTGTCACTGCTCTAAAGAACTAGGGAATCATGGACTACATGAGTGTATTCTTTATGTAAATGTAAAATATAGGGGCCAGCTGGTGGCATAGTGACTAAGGTGCTGGATCCCACATGGCCAACTATGCAGTTTGAGTACTGGACCCGAAGGCTTGAAATACATGCCAGCCTTATGTATATGTGTGCCCCAAATTCCTAGAAGAGAATGGAGGAGAAGGGATGGCAAGTCATCCTCCCTGGAGAGGTGATTTCTCACTTCCCCTCTCTCTCTCTGTCTCTCTCTGGTGAGTGTACTCTACAGCAAATTAAAATAAATAAATAAATAAATAAATAAATAAATAAATAAAATAAAATAAAAAGTAAAATATAGGAGTACGAAGGGTCAAATGTGAAAAATCCTTCCCATCTTCTTCACATTCTGTCTCCCTTTCCAGAAGAAACCCCTCATGTGAGTTGCTACATATCAGTAGATGGGGGAACCTGAGTCATCAGGGATGACCTAACAGTTTTGGCCACCAAACAGCCACCTCTGTCTCTGTCTCTGTGGTTTTGCAAACACATAACTAGCTCAACTAACCAGGAACTCATTTCCATTCACTGAACCAGTTTTCCAGTTTTCAAAATAGGGTGATATTGTCACATACAGCTCTAAGGCAAATGAAATAAGCAATCTTTATTTAACTATGAAATGTATTTTTATCTGGAAGTTGGTGTTTTGCCCCAGATCTCAGCTAAAGAAATAACTTGCTCAGATACTCTGTAACTTCTTCGGACTTATAAAAAGTAAATTATCTTGAAGTTACTTTATTTGGTTTAGTCAACACTTTTTTAAGAGTTTATTTATTTCTTCCATGATTAAGAGAAACAAGGGCAGGAGTGGGGAGCAGATAATACCCCCAACAAGTTCCTGACACCACAATCTACTCTCACCCTTTAGTCAGCCCTGGATCATGGGCCCTTGCATGTGCCCAGCATGTTCATGGAGGTCTCTGGACTTGAACCTGGAACTTCCCATGTGAGACTGCCTTGCATTATGTCACCAACTAGCCCCAGTCATTATTTTTTAATTACATCATTTACAAGCAATTATCTTTGTAAGATATTGTTTTAAACTACTTGGATTTCAGTGCACCAGATGGATTTTTAGTTTTTATATATTTTGTATTTATAGGATAGAGAAAAAATGTGATAAATAAAAAAATCATAAAACAGCTTACATGTTCATAGCCAATGTAATCCTCTAAACTATTTCTGTACTTTTAAGGGGGGCAGGAAATAGGGGCCAATAGGTGGTATGATGGTTAGAGCATTAGATTCCCACATGGCTGATTGTGATTCAAGTCCCAGACCTGGAGGCTTGCTTTTTCACTTTTCCTTTCTCTCTCTCTCCCTCTCTCTCTCTTTCTGGTCAAATTAAAAAATAAATAATAATGACAAATAAAATTAATAAAAAATTTAAAACATTTTAAAATAGGGGGCAGGAAACAATTCTAACATTTAAATAAGCCTCTTTTAATGGATTTGGCATAAGGCAGGACCATCTTAGATTCCATGAAAGGAATCACAGAAAGCACCAGAGACTCATGGTAGTAAAGTCTCATTTGTAATCAGTTATGATATTGGCCTGCTAGGGGAAAACCTCATGCTATTAGGGAATCAATGGATTCCTTTTTTCGTTTTTTTCTTTTGGCCATATTAACATTTTATCAGTTTATCTTCAATTTCTAAAACCAAAAGTTTACTGCCAGACATGATCTTTTTGTTACCAAGGTGGTAGGTTTCCACCATCTTTGCCTGCTTTAGAACTTGGGCCATCAGTTGCTCAATCAGAGATAAGGCCTTCCTTTGTTAACTGTTTAACAAGGTTAGTATAACCCCACTCCGTCGGCGATGCTAAAATGCATAGTAAGTACAAGTACTTGCATATGGAAACCCCTGGTTTCTCACTCAACATTTTCAATTTACTCTGCATGTCCTGGAAACATAGACAGAAATCTCCTGTGGTTACTCTGGGCAGTTCCTCTTAGTCACAGATACCTCAGAAGCCAATAGGTGTTCCCACACGTCGTTCTGAGTCCATGGCTGAGGCTGGCGAAGACTGAGTGATATGGGAGGGTAGTCCAGAAAGCAAGAGCTGGCAAAGTCTGTAATTGCTTCGTCAGTGGCCTGCACCCTTAATACGGGTGTCCTAGAAGTTATGGGTACATTTTCTTCCATGGGTCCCCCTGGAAGGTGTGCTCACTTATGTAGATGACAAAACATCTGTCATGAGGATATATACTCTGTAAACCTGTCTGGGCAGAAAAAGGAAGTCACAGTGCAGATGTCATTCTGGGTGTGACTGCAGAAAGGAGGACTCCTTTATTAAAATAATCATATTTAACGAGCTGATCACCTTCCTCCTTCTCCATCACTCTTCCTCATCATTTCTCTCTTCCACTCCTAAAACCCAATCCCATGCTGGCTGCTGGACACCCTTATATAAACATGTAAGGTATAGTGCAAGGGAAATAGTGCCATTAAAAAAAAATTAATGTGTTCATGATAGAGCACACACGTGTGTGTGTGTGTGTGTGTTCATGATAGAGCACACACATGTGTGTGCCTGTGGGCATGTGAGAGAAAGAGAGAGAAAGGCACTCTCCACAGGAGATAGTCTCTCTACAATCCCCTTCCTCCAGCTCTCCAACCAACCTGCAAGGATCCCGTGTGTGTGCCCAGCGTGTTTTCAAGCCCACCAGGCCAGGGACCTGAACTGCAGTCAGTGTGTGGCTGTGAGCTCTGCCGTCCAGTACACTACTGGCTACACTACAGAGGCTGGGCCAGTACTATCTTTAGTTAATGCATCATTTAGATTATTTCCATCCCAGGGGTCTTTTCCTCTCTCAGGCAGCAGGAGATAAGTTTGGAAAATGACTGAGAAGAGGGTATTAGTCCTGAGTTTTCTTATTGTTCTTTCTATTTTGAAGAACCTTCTAGACTAGGTGGATGAGTGATTATCTGGGTTGTGTGTGTGTGTGTGTTTTAAGTAGTCTTGAACTCAGGCATATACAGCCCTTATTCTAGGAGGTGTTACTGTTTGTTATGCTGTAGAGGATGTACCTGCCTTTCAAGCTACATTAATCCAAGCTCATTTGGAAGAATGAATAATGGGGGAAGGATAAAGTATAAGTTGAATAAATACTCTACCATTCAAACAGTCCAGGTTTTAAAAATGCTATAATCTTCGTAAAGGGGTGAGGCCATAACTGTGTTATATCTGTAAGGGTTTTGGTGGTTTTCATGTGAGTCAATTCCACCTCAGTTTTGTGGGGTAGCCATCCGTGAGGGTGCTTGGTGGGGACTACAGATTGGAGGGCGAGCTCTGTTAGGATAAAGCTGTGCCCCCTCACCTTCCCATCCAAGTCCTCAGTGGGAGAGCTGGGCCTGGAGCTCAATGCAACTTCGCAATGTATAAGCCGACAGCATGGTTGTGACTAAGGCAGTTGAGTCACTCTTTAAAACAGGCTCTGGTGATGATAGTGCCACCAAATAGCTCTGTGAGACTGGGCAGAGCATTTAACTTTTTTGGATTTCAGTTTCCTCGTAGAACAAGGGGGGGTGGAGACTTGGAGTAGGCTCATTGATCTAAAAGGCTCCATGTTGTCCTCATCTGTGGCTCCAAGGTTCAGGGAAATGCTGGGCCACAAGACTCCAGAGAAATTTCCAGAGCCTAATGTCTGTCACTCCCTGATGGGAGACAGCAGTTAGTGAGAGTGGGTGACACAGCATATATCAAAACCCCTAGGAGCTGTAGTGTAGTGATTACATTACTGGATTCTCACATGGGCGACCATGGTTCAAGTCCCAGACCTGGCAGCTTGAAATTTGTATCAAGCACCTGTGCATGTGTACCCAAAATCCTTAGAGAAGAAGGGATTGAAGCATGGCCATCCCTCCTGGAGGGTGATTTCTTGCTTTCTATTTCTCTGTCTCTCCAGTGAGTACACATGCCCTATAGCAAAAATCTCTCTCAAAAAAAAAAAAAAATCTAATGGCCACGCGGTGGTCTGTCTGGCGAGCGCACGCGCCCTACAGTAAATCACTCCACAAAAAAAAAAAAAAAAAAAAATCTAGTGGCCAGCAGGTGGCGTGGAAGTTAAGGTGTTGACTTGGCCGACTGCGTGGTTTGAGTCCTGGACCCAGTGGCCTGAAAATCACACTTGTCACATGTGTATACATGCCCAAAATCCTGGGTGGAGACTTAAGAAGAAGGGATTACAGTGTGGCCATCCCTCCTGGTGTGTGCTTTCTCATTACTCTCTCTCTGTCTCTTTCTCTCTCCAGCAAGTACATATGCCCTATAGCAAATTACATTACACACACGTACACATACACACAAAGGTCTAGCCTATGCATATTGAGCACTGAGTCAAGTCACCTGTGGTCACTTGAACAAACCCTGAGTGCCAGACCAGAGTTGCTGGTACCTTCCACAGGACTCCATTCAATAGCTGAAGCAAATGAAGTTGAATTCATTCATTAGAACTGGAATTCCTTTGATTCTATCACAGAAATAGCCATTTGTTATGAAATACAAATCTGGAGGCCTTCACTACGTGCCAGTGCAACCGTTAAGTTGTAACGTGTTTCTCTAGGGAGCTCAGTGGATATGCTGTACACTTTTGCACATTGCTCAGGACTGGACTTGATCTTCGGTCTAAACGCCTTACTAAGGACCCGCGATTCGCAGTGGGACAGTTCGAATGCTCGGTTGCTCCTGGACTACTGTTCTTCCAAGAATTATAGCATTTCTTGGGAATTAGGCAATGGTAAGTACCCTGGGAATATTATTAACAAGTAGGTTTAGCATTATTTGGTCCTATTGATGACATTCATTTTAATAACAGCAAATAGAATTCTGTCTGGGCACATTCTTGCCAGTTCAACAAGGTAACTTTTAGAAATGTGTATGGCCGAAGCCTCCTTTATACATCCCAGGACCATGGCTGACCCCAGTTGATGTCATGTGTGAGGCGAGAACAACTAGTTGAAGCCAGCCACCTTCCTGCTCCCAGGCTCCCATGTGATTGTCAGAATCACATAAAACTCTGATGTTCAGCAGTCTGGGCTCGGCAAAACGGAAACAAGCAGTTCGCTTTTACTCTTTTCTTCTTTTCTGTATCTCAACTTGTCAGGTAATCTCAGCAGCTTTATTCCAACCCTCCTTACATACTCAGGCTCTCTAAAAGTTGCCAGAATAGAAGAATCCTATAGAGGTTAAGCCCTGATCATCGATCATCTCTTTCTTTCCTTTTTTTTTTTTTTTTTTTGCAAAGAATTTTCAAATTTAACTGAAGTGCTAATGACTAGCTACATCCATTTGAAACATATTTATAGTGCTTTATTTTCACATCAGCCAATGCAATTAAAGAAAAAATAAGAAGCGAAATGTACTGGGCCAGCAGGTGGCATGGAGGTTAAGGTGGGTGGATCTCACATGACCAACTGAGCAGTTCAAGTCCCAGACCTGGGGCCTTGAAAATCACACTGGGCACATGTGCATGCATGCCCAAAATCCTGAGAGGAGAATGGAGGAGAACGGATTGCGGTGTGGCCATCTCCTCAGGAAGTTATTTCTCACTCCCATACTCCTGTCCCTCTCTGGTGAGCATGTGAACCCTATAGCAAAAATTAAAAAAAAAAAAAAAAAGACAAATGAAATATATTACTATGATGAGCATGAACTAGAAAATACAGGCACTGTTTGGAGCATTAAAATGTGCTCCTCTGGGATCAGCAGTTGCCATAATGGCTGTGTTGTTGGACTCCCATGTAGTCAACCACGGTTTGAGTCCCAGACCCAGTGGCTTAAACTCAGGCTGGGAATGTGTGCATGCATGCCCAAGATCCCGAGAGGAGAATGGAGGAGAAGGGACTGTGGCGTGGCCATCCCCCCCGGGATGGTGATTTCTCGCTTTCTGTCTCTCCCTGTCTTTTGGGTGAGCACATGCGCCCTATAGCAAAAACCTCTCAAAAAAAATTAAATGTGATCCCCTTATTTCAAAAGGTAAATTAGGTTATTCAATACTATATATAGACTGTTTTCCAAATATCCATTGGTTTAATATCCCCATTAACTTAAAATTGTTTAATACCCCCCATACCTCAGTTATATAGTTTACATTTTGGTTTTTCTACAACATCTTCTGTAATTATAATTAGAAGTTTTATGTTTATTGACTTTGTATTCTAAACTTTTGAAATTTGGAAAATGTTTTGTTGCAATTGTATGTTTTGTATGTTTGCTTTTAAATAATAAATGTCTGGGTAAGTGATTATTTTCAGAATTTCTATCTTTCAGAACCAAACAGTTTCCGGATAAAGTCTGGTATTTTCATCGATGGATTGCAGTTAGGAAGAGATTTTGTTCGGTTGCGTAAGCTTCTAGGAAAGACCACTTTCGAAAATGCAAAACTCTATGGTCCTGATATTGGTCAGCCTCGAGGAAAGACTGTTGATTTGCTGAGGAGGTAGGATATTGAGTGAGAAGAACCACTTTTCTTAAAAGTAAATGTTCCTTGGGCCAACAGGCGGCATGGCATGGTGGTTAAGGTGCCGGATCCCACATGGTCAACTCCTCTGTCCACGCTTCTGACCGGCAGCTTGAAAATCACACCAGGCACATGTGCATGTGTGCCCAAAAATCCTGAGAAGAGAATGGCAAAGAGGGGATTGTGATGTGGCCATCCCCCCAAGGATGATTTCTTACTTACCCTCTTTCTCTGTCTGTTTCTCTCTAGCACACACACATGTCCTGTGCCAAAAACTAAAAACTAATGAAATAAAATAAATATTCCTCTCTAGTAGAAAATCCTCAACAGTCCGCATGTTATTAAACAATTTGCTTCCTGACTAAATGGTTTCCTGAAAGGGGAAACATCGGCTCAGAAAATACTAAAGATTCTGGAGCAAGTGGCATTTATGACCTAATTTGTTATCAGAATTAGAAAGTTTATGTTTTCATGATCCTAAGGCAGTAACCAGCCCATTTCTAGGGGATAAAATTCTTTTTCTTTATATAGAAACAAAGGTTTATTCAACCCATGGCTTGGAGGGCCAGGGTCTAAGGCCCAACTTCTGGCAAAGCTACCACTTGGGCAGGATCTTGAGCAGAGCGGCTGTCTATAAGTTTCTCAGGAATAAAATTCTTATGCCTATATTGTGCACATAGATCGTGCATATGAGGATGGAGTGATGACATCATACAATTCTTTTTCAGTTTCCTGAAGGCTGGAGGAGCAGTGATTGATGCAGTTACATGGCATCAGTAAGTATGTCCTCTGTTTTTTAAGGTAGGAAAGTGACCAGCTTTATTTATACATATTGAATAGCTTTCATGAAATTACTTCTATTTCATTGTTTACTGACTCTATTGTTTAAATAAGAAACAAATAGTGTCTCAAGCTGTACTGTACTATAATCTTAATATTAACTAAGTAAAGTTTCAGTTATTTGAAATAATGTGGTTTCAGTAAAGATCGAGGTACACTGCTCATTAGCCCATGGGATCTACAAGTCACTAAAGCCAACCCAGGAGTGCCTGCCCTGGTGACTGTGTCTCTCAGCACTGAGTCATTGGTCCTAGTTACTTGGATAGAATGGACTCTTATTCACACACCCCTTCCATCTTGGTCTCTCCCTGGTAGAACTTTTGCCTTTTTTTGGAGGGGGGAGGGAGGGTGGTAGAAGAGAGAGGAAAGAACAAGGTCTATGGTTTACTTAAAAGCAGAAAGTGAAGTTTGTTATTTTCTTCTGAATAATTTAGCTACTATGTGAATGGACGAATTGCTACCAAAGAAGATTTCCTAAACCCTGATGTATTAGACACATTTATTTTAAGCGCGCAAAAAATGTTTCAGGTAATCCTTTTTTTTTTCTTTTTGTTTTCATTTCATGTAAAACCAGAGTCCTTATGCCCTAGCCTAGCTAGTCCTAAATTGTATAGGTATACCCATGTCCATATGTTCTAATGTTAAAGAGGAGACACTGGTTTACTCCGTTTGGGTTCCCCCTTCCTATTGAATCTTATCCATGCACGCTGAGGAGAAATGAGAAGTAATTCCAATAGCTTTTTGACAGAGCTACAACAGACCATGGGAATGAGTTATATACATTCCTTTCTCGGCACAGTACCTCAGTAAAAGAAAATTGCCCAACCCCTTGGTGACTCTGGACATACTTCATATCTCTGTGAGATGGACGGGCTTGGGAATACGAGGCGTTGAATGTTGCTCATCGTCAACTGCATTGCTGGTCAGCTTGTTGGCAAAACCATGAGACCTTCCTATTCCACAGGTTGTGGGGGAGACCAGACCCGGCAAGAAGGTGTGGTTAGGAGAGACAAGCTCTGCGTATGGGGGAGGAGCACCATTGCTGTCCGACACCTTTGCTGCTGGCTTTATGTGAGTGAGACAGCCCTGGTCTTGAGGGTCAGATCACAGCATTCGCTCGCCTCTATTTAGCTGAGAGAGTTCTTTAGCCAAAAAAAGCAGATCCAAGATGGTTTCAATGACTGAGCCCCCCAAAATCTGTGTTTTTGCAAGAAAATTATTTACTAAAATGTGTTAGCTATCTTTGACAGATGTCCGAGATGAATTATGGTAAGCATGAATTATTTCAGGAATTTGGCTCCTAAATTGGCCCATAAATACGCCAGAGTCCTTCCTCTGATGAAGTTCATAATAAAAGAATGTATATAGGGACCAGCAGGTGGCGTAGTGGTTAAGGTGCTAGACTCCCACATGGTCGACTACAGTTCAAGTTCCAGACCTAGCAGCTTGAATGGAGAAGAAGGGTTTGTGGTGTGGCCATTCCCCGGGGGGTGATTTCTCACTTTCTCTCTTTGTCTCCAGTGAGCACACATGCTCTATAACAAAAATCTCTCTTAAAATAAAAGGGGAGGGGGACTAGCAGGTGGCATGATGGTTGGGGTCAATGGACTCCCACATGACCAACCATGGTTCAAGTCACAGACCTGAAGCTTGCTTTCTCACTTTTCCTCTCCTCTCTCTCTCTCTCTCTCTGCTCCGTCCCTCTCTGGTCAAATTAAAATTAATGAATAAATAAAGTTAAATAAAAAGTAATTCTTTTAAGGAAAGGACTATATGTGGAGCTGAGTGACAGATGCCATGATATTTGTAGATTTCTTAGACCTTTAAAGCCCAAAATATGCAGTCACACCAATGAATTTAAAGGTGTCTAAATCGCCTCCTTATGCAACACCACAAACTTGATTGCTTTAAACTACTGGCTTCCAATAACTGTTAATTCTCTTAATCTACAGTTGTATGTTCTCACGTTAAGATTTTCTTTCTTTCCTCTCAAATCCTCATTCTTTTGCTTTTCCTCTCCTATCCTCATTCTTATAATCCAAGAATAAAGCACAAATTCTTTGTGATCACAGGGGCAGCAGGCATAAAGAATGCATTGGCTTTCCCATTAATTAAAAATTAGGAATATGGGAAGGCAGGGGGAAGAGGTAGAGGATAAGAAATGGGGAAGATGTCCCTAACATGAATAGCTTAGGTGTGACTCTACCGATGGCATAATTGTTATCACTAACTGCATCCTTTTTTTCAGGGCCCCACACTATGTGGGTGGTGGCTGGGGCCTTCCACAGGAGGAGGGATGGTCCGTAGGGGTGGGAATTTGTCTATCTGCTTTGTCACAGTTGTCTTACCTGACAGGGACCCCTCTGGTGTAGCATTAATAGCGGTCCTCCTGGGTCTGTTATCCCTCTGCAGTGTGGGAAGATATGCAGGGCGGGACTCACCTGCTGCTTCCTAGCCTCCATTCCACCAGAATGACTTACTTACAGTTGATGCCACTTTTCTGGCTTCCTGTTAATTCCTCCCACATAGACGACTACAGCAGAATAAGGTGTAATTAGAACTGAGTGATTGTTTCCCGAGTCTGAAGAAAGCAGGGTCTTGCTCTGTTCCAGGTGGCTGGATAAACTGGGGCTCTCGGCACGGATGGGCATTGACGTGGTGATGAGGCAAGTGCTCTTCGGAGCTGGGAACTACCACTTGGTGGACAGAAACTTCGAGCCTCTCCCTGTGAGTGATCGTATTTTCTCATTTCTGTGAGTAGAATAAAGAATACTCAGGGCCCCTGGCATTAGCCTCCAACAAATAATCCAGTCTCCTCAATAAGTCGCAGAGCATTTGGAATGATAACTTGGAAGGAAAGCTGGAGATTGAGCACTTTAGCATTTTTAAGATCTCAAGACAAGGCCAATAGGTGACATACTGGTTAAGGCGCTGGACTCCTATGCTGTCGCCTGCAGTTCAAGTCCCAGACCCAGTGGCTTGAAACTCATGCTGTGCATGGCCAAAATCCCAAAAGGAGAATGCAGGGGGAAAAAAAAAAACTCAAGAAAGGAAATCAAGAGCCATAATAACTTTTTAAATATGGAGCATTTGGGGGCTCAAGGCCAACAGGTGACATACTGGTTAAGGCGCTGGACTCCTATGCTGTCGCCTGCAGTTCAAGTCCCAGACCCAGTGGCTTGAAACTCATGCTGTGCATGGCCAAAATCCCAAAAGGAGAATGCAGGGGGAAAAAAAAAAACTCAAGAAAGGAAATCAAGAGCCATAATAACTTTTTAAATATGGAGCATTTGGGGGCATGGTGTAGGTTTTTTGTTGTTTTTGTTTTTGTTTTCTAAAGAGAGACAACTTAAAATTTTATGACTCATTTTAAAAGGTATCAAACTTGGGACCAGCAGATGGCATGGCAGTGATGTCACTGAACTCCCACATGGCCAACTGTGGTTTGAGTCCTGGGCCTGGTGGTTTGAAAATCATGCTGGGCATTTTAATATTCCAGGAGGAGAATGGAGGAGAAGGGATTGCTGTGTGGCCATCCCGCTTGGCTGGGGTGGGGGTGGGGGTGATTTCTTGCTTTCTGTCTCTCTGTCTCTCTGGTGAGCTCACATGCCATATAGCAAAAAAAAAAAAAAAAAACCTCAAAAAACATACTTCAGGTGTGCATGGGTGCACATGCCCAAAATGCTGAGTAGGTAAGAAATGGAGAAGAGATTATAGTGTGACCATGCCCCATTGAGGAGTATTATATTAGGCCAGCAGGTGGTATGGTAGTTGAGGCACTGGATACCACGTAGCCGAATGTGCAGTTCAAGTCCTAGACCTGGCAGCATGATAATCATGCCAGTTGTGTGTGCATGTGTGTCTAAAATCTTGAGAGGAGAATGGACGAGGTTGCAGAGTTCCCTCCCACCCCTGGTGGGTGCTTCCTCACTCTCTCGCACTCTCTCTTGGTACCTCTCCAGTAAATGCACATGCCCCATAGCAAATTAGAGAAAAAAAGTTTCAGAAATTAAATCAAAGTTAAAATTGCTAAAAGTATCCAAAGTTTCAAAACTTTTTTGTCATGAAATCATAATTTATTTAACTTTAAAATGAGCCACTACTGAGACAGCCAGGTGACGTGGTGGTGAAGGTAGTTGGATCCCACATAACTGTGTGTTTGAGTCCCAGACCTGGAAGCTTGAAAATCACGCTGACTATGTGTACATGTGTGTCCAAAATCTTGAGAGAAGAATGGAAAGGAAGGAGTTGGGGAGTGGTCATTCCCCCTGGAGAGTGATTTCTCACTTGCCACCTCCCCTCCCCATCTCTCTGGCAAGTGCACATACCCTATAGCAAATTTTAAAGAAGAAAGAAGAGGAGCCAGCAGATAGCATAATGGTGACATCACTGGATTCCCACATAGTGGACTGTGGTTCAAGTCCCAGATCCCGCAGCTTAGAACTCACACCAGGCACATGTACATGTGTGCTCAGAATCTCAAGAGGAGAATAGAGGAGAAGAGATTGTGGCGAGGCCATTTCCCCACGGGGGATGATGATTTCTCACTTTCTCTATCTCTCTGTCTGACGAGCACAGGCACCATAAAGCAAAAAATCTCTCTAAAAAAAGAAAGAAAAAAAAGCTAGTACCATGTGTTTGTTAAAAACCTTACCAAAGAATTGAACTATTTTGTGAATAATCTTCAAGATATTTATGAATTTCTACCCTATGTCAAACTGCATCTGGCTAAATCTGGAAATGTCTTCTTTTTAGGAAAAAAAAAAAAACCTGGGGGGGG